AAAAAAAAAAAAAAAAAAAAAAAAAAAAACAACCAAAAAACACCCAAAAAACTAGTGGTAAATTATGCAGCTTAGAACAAAATTTTATTTAGGTAAGCCTAATAAAAAATACCACAAAGTAAAACACATTAAAAACTTTATTATAAGTATTACACTTGTCCAAATTTGCATCAATTTGATACATTTCTGCTCCTTTCACAGAACACGAGAGTCACATAATTGCCTTTGATCTCAACAGTCCCCCTACTGTAGTCCCCTATGTTCTCGCCGTGGCCCACCCTGCCCCTCTCCTTCCTGCGGCTCCTTCCTGTGCCTCCCGCTGATAGCCCAACAGCCAGAGCCCCGGGCCCTGCGCTGCTCCAGGGAACCCCCCTGCTCTCTCCGTCCTGTTACCACCCCCAGCCTGAGAGGCTAACTGTACATATTCTGAGGGTGAGGAACCCCAGTTAAGTTTCATAGAGTATTCTAGAACCTTACATTGGGACCTGATCATTACTTTCTGTAATAGAAGTGAGGAGGAGGAGTTAGAAAGATTCCCTGGACTGAAATGGGCTGGAACGGTGTGGGGTAGGATTTGCTTCTCTTGCTTCTCCCTCCTCACTCAGGCCTGACTCAGACTGAGTGCAGCAGATCCGGACTGCTCACCCCCATGGAAAGGGGGACACCAAACGGCCACTGGGGTTGGAAAGCAAATTTGAGGAAAACAACAGCGATGAGAAAAGTCTGTAAGGAGTATTTTGCCATCTTCTTCCTGAATAACATTCCCCTTTCCCCTGTCGTGGCGTTTATGATCAGCTATAATGTAGGCTGACAGAGTACAGTGAAAATAATAATATGATAATAGCAATGACTTCCCATTGGGGGTGCTATTCAATTGCTTACAGAAATCTGCAGTTCTAATGCATCTTAAACACATGAGGAATGAGTCACGATTGGCCAAACTCAGGAAAATGCCCCATAAAAAAATAAAGATAGAAAATACATGCTGATTTAATGGCAAACTTATTTTTGAGACTTTTTAAAAACGGTAATGGCCTTGGAATTACGGGAGGAGCGACAGGGACCACCGCAGGCCTGAGAGAGCACGGGAGGTCAGCCAGGGAGGGCGCGGGGGGCCCGGGCTGCCTTGGTGGCGGGGCTGCGCCTGCTGGGGGTGGGCAGCCGCTCGGCCAGTGTCTGTGCAGCTGTCCAGGACCCTCAGTGCTGCAGCAGGAAGTTGGTGGCCACATTCAGGTCATTGTTCGAAGCTCTCAGGGCTTCTAGAGCATCGCCCCGGGAAAATCCCATCTCCATGAGCCGGGCAACCTGGAAACAGAAACACAACCGGAAACCCAATGAGGCCGGCGACTCGACTACTAACCCACCAGCCCCTGAAATGTTCCTTACAAGGGTTTTGTTTTCAAAACAAAACAAGAACCCTAATTTTCATTTTAGTGTGAAATCTGATTTTTTAAAAAATGTTAAACGGGCACGACATTTCAAAGTGCTTACCATATTGCTAACAAGTACAATTATCTCATTTAATCCTCATCTTAGAGACAAGGAAGGTGCACCCCAGGGTCCGGCGACCTGCCAGGATGAGCAGCGGGATGAGTCCCCGGGATGCCGCTGGGAAAGCCGGTCTGTTCCCGCAGCCCGGCGCTCACACGGCTTTGCATGCTCCTTCGGAATCAAATCCGATAACTGTGAACTCCTCAAGTCATGTTTCCTCGCATACGAGAACAGTCGCTTAACAGAAGATTATCCCTGATGCTGGGAGACACCGGTGACAAAAGTGCGTGCAGGTTCCTGGAACCACCCAGCCAGAGAGGGTCCCCTGGGTGCCCACACCTCATTTGTTAACCTTCGACGTGAGTTGCGGCACTTGCTAAGTTTCTGGCTGGGGGGCGGGGCGGGGGGCTCCCTGGGCAGCAGCAGAGAACCACGCACAAAGTGGGTGAGGCCAGGGGCAGAAGCCAGGGGAAGGAGGTGGCTAGTGTCACTGAGCGCAGGGAGGATGAGGCTTGCGTTTTCTGGACCACAAATCCCGCATCTGTGACTAGAGGTTTCCTGTGCTCACGCATACAGTTTCCAATGAAGCGGGCAGTGCCACTCGAGTTTGCTGGTAACCTACTTTCCCATTTAAAAATGTGCCATAAAGATATTTATGACCTCAGACGAGCCAAAGGAAGCTCTTCTTTGTACTTTTGTTGAGATATACATTTGCAATAATATGTAATGAAAAGTGACACAAACTGTTGAGATTTTCACCACATGTGGGTGAAAGAGGCCTTTGTGGACTGAGAACTTGGTCACCATTTCTAACCTCTCCTGCGGAAAACAACGCGCTCGGTACGAAGCGGAAAGAAACTACCTGATACCGCCCTCCTTCCCGGGCTCGGGGAGTCGGGGCGTGCGTGAGCAGGGCAGGGGAGAGCAGGGTGTCGAGGGGCCAAAGTGAGGGGGAGAGGGAGGAAGGGGGCAGGGGAGGAGGCTGGGGTCACTTCTCCGCCCTGCCTGAGTGGCCCGAGCCCTCGTCCCTCACGGAGCCTTAGGAGAGAGGTTAATCCTGGGGAGAGGCAGGGGCACTTCTCAAAGCTGCTGTCTTTCCAACCGAGGCTGTGATCTCTCATTTGTGTGTCATGAACGCTTAGTGGGTTAAGGTTAGCATTAAAAAATGCACGTAGTGAGGGTCTTTCTTCCATAGAACTCATTTCAGTTCTCCATAGGCACACACATGTGTGCCGTGTTTCCTACTGTGGGCTGTGGTCAGAGACATTTGACAGTTGTTCTCTACGGGAACGGCCGGGGCCTGGGAAAAGGACCATCTGCGAGCACGGCCCTCACACATGGGAGACCCGAGGTCCCACAGGCGATGACCAGCTCCACGCCCCAGGCTGATGGACAGTGCGGACAGACTGGGAGGAATCTTCTGCTTTCATTTCCTGCCCAAGGAAAGAACTGCCTTCCCCAGAATGTCACACACACTCCCCACTAACCGGCTGGGATGGAAAGTTCTTCCTCAATCCAAGACTCTGCCTCTCACTAGTTGCCCTCCGTGGGACGTCAAAGGTCGTCATCTTGCCCTTTGAAATAACAGACGACAATCCTATTCCCTTTTCTGCGTGAAGCACTTCGAGTTTCTGAAGGCTGCCCCCCCCAGTCTCCCCTATTTCTCTAGGCCAGCACCCCAACTCCTGGTCTGGCCCAGGCCCTGCGGAGCCCGGCCCTGCCTTCGCTGCTGGTGCTTCCTCCTCTGGCCTGGCTCACTCCTCTTCACCCGCAGGCTCTGGAGGCGCCGGGCCCTTTCCCATTCTCCCAGACTGGAAGGAACCCCAGAGAATTCTGTGGCTCCACCGACCTCTGTCCTGTGCTCACCACGGTTGTGACTTTTCCCTGTAACTGCAGGGAGGGCCGCTCGCTGCCACCGTGCTGTAAGCCTTCTGAGAACAAGGGAATAAAGGCCGCGGCCGCTTTACTCATTCCTGCGTCTCCGGACCCGACACGTCCAAGTGCAGCGCTCCCATTGAGGCCCGCCGCCACCCGCCTGGCATCGCAGCCCTCAGTGCAGCGGGTAGCGCGTCTGCAGCGGGCCCGTGCTCCCGTGCGCGCAGCCACATCATACGGGTGTAGCCAGTTACGCCGGCGCCTGCAAAAAACACTCAGGTATTTTCACCTGAAAGGCTCTCAAGCCAGGCTTCTGCACTCCTCCCCCGGAAGTCGTACCTGCTCTCCTGGAGTCAGGACCGCACGCATCTCGGTTAAATGGCCTCTGGTCATTTTCTCGATAACCAAGACGGATTTCAGTTTAAATTCTGTTGTCTCCTAGGTTACTCAGCTCCCTCAAAACTGTGTCATCCCCGAGTCTGATTAGCGAACTTCTACAAGGTCCCTCAAGTTATTATTGATGAAAACGCCGAGCAGGCAAAGTCGGAGACGGGCCCAGAACCCATTCGAGACCTTCCTTTGTCCTCGAGTTGTTAGCTGACAATTTTTTTAGAGATTTTTAACCATTTAAAAACCCACTTCATATTGTTTCTGTCCATTCCACATGTCACCACTGTACCCCTCACAGTGGCACGATGTAGCCAGATGTCTTGACGACATCGTGTGTTAGCAGGAGCAGGGCTGCGCCTACAGACCGCAACACTCTGAACACTCGAGGCATCTGCCCGATCATCTGTTTCAGGCTCCGCAGACATGAAACATCAGTTCTGCCATTTGATCGCCAGAGTCCGCGCTTTCCTCCTTCCCTGGGGGCTTCAGACTGAGCGGGGCGCGCGCGGGGCACGCGCTCCCGGACGTGGGCCGGACGCACGTTCGATCCAGGCAATCCTTCCCGCGTTGTCCCCGGACTGAAGTAAGCTTTAACGATGTTAATTGCAGTGACTTCCAGTTAAGAACCACCCTCTTCAGTGGCGTTAGTGCAGGCTGGAGAGCAGCTGGGCAGGTCCTCTGCCTCTCTCTGTTGCCCACGAACACACGGCCGCCCAGCCCCGCGGCCGTTCTTGCCCACCTCCGCGCCGCTCCCGACGTACCAGCACACCACCGCCGTCAGTTCGCCACGCGGCGCTGAAGAGGCGGCTTCCTCGCACCTGCCAGCGGGAATCGTCTGACGGATCCCGAGTCACCATCTGGAGCTGACGGCGTGTGAGCCAGACCCCCGCTGGGAGCAGGGGGAGCTGCTGGCCGCCACTTCCCGCTGGTCCTGGAGTCTTCCGTGCATCGACTCGGAATGTGGTTTGGAGTCTGGAAGGCGCTGATGACGGGTGGCCACGCGGGCCACCAAGGCGGAGCAGCAGCGACCACCCTGCAGGCTGGTCCAGCGCTGGCCACCCCAGAGGGCACCGCTCAGGTCTGCGATGACCCGGCTGTGTCCTCGGGTATGGGAGCGACGTCGGTGTGAAGGAAAAAGCTTTCTCTGCCTGTGAGGCTTCCTGTGGAGCCTGTCTGTGTTCTTAGAAATGAACGACCCCACACGCACCGGCGCTGGTTTCGACAACTGGCCGTTTGCTGAAGAGCCTGCTGGCTCTGACGGCGGGCAACAGGGCCCCTTTCGACAAGGCTGGCTGCAGAGCTTCCTGCGTTTTCTCGGGGTGAGAAGACAAGTGTGACTGGAGGATTTCCCCCGCTGAATGACCTTGTGCTCTATGCAGGTGAAGAAACTTACAAAGTAGAAATAATGTTAACAGTTCTTTTTGAAAACTGAACCATTACATTAAAAAAGTGTATCTGTAAGCTTCTCCTAGTGTCCTGAACAGTAAACACCCAAGGGAAAATCAAATTGCATGCCTGGACTTAGGAATGTGGGTAATAACCAGCCAAAAAGGATGAGAAGCAGAGAGACAGGGAATGAAGATGGCGGGCTCGCGCTGTTGCCACAACGTGGGGATGGGACACTTGTGGGAAGGGCGGAGCCTGCTAACTGGTCCCCGACAGGTGCCCAGGAAGCACTGCCTACTGTGACGAGTCTCATCCCACCCAAGAGGGGCTGGCCCGGGGCGCGGCTGCTCCCCACTGACCCTCTGGGCCTCAGTTCAGAGGTTCCCACCACCTGACAAAACCACTCTCGGGTTTTGTTTTCAGCACTCATTGTAACTGCTTTCACTGTACTCGTTTTTATCCTCTGCTGGCCAAAGAACTGATGTGTCTATCACAACAATCAAACACATGCTTGTTTGCTGGGAGCCCCGGCTAGCAGCGAGCAGCTGGGAGGAGAGTGTCGGGGCCGGACAGTCAGCCCCCCTGGTCACTGCCATCAAGGGAGAAGGCTGTGCTATTGCCCCGAGGCTAGGGACCCAGTTAAACGCTGTCTTGGGGCGAAGTTCACCCTCTCACACATCTCCTGTCATACACAAATACAGCCACGCTTAAACACAAGCCAAGAATGATTTTTGTTACACATTTCTAGTGGTTAAACAGCTCACAGAAGAACTGGCCTATGAAACTAATGTGGTGAGCCCAAGCCAAGTAAAAAAGATAGAAAAAAATCTTTTTAAAAAGGTAAGCATAAAATTCTAACAAAAGTCCATATTATTTGTGACTCTAAGAAAAATTTACATTTGTATAAATTCTAGCAACTGCTAAATTCTGATGATTATAAAATCACAGTATTTACAGACACTCAGTCTACCTCCTTCCCTATCCCCAGCATACGTATTAGCCACAAAACACATTAAATCTCACTGAAAACACAATTTGTTTCCTCTACGGGCTGCTTCCTGTCTTTTTAGTTCAGCTATTAGAACATCCAAGGGAAGAGAAAATGTCAGTGTAACATTTCTAGGTCTTGACTAGATAAAAATCCGAAAATACACCCTGATCAG